CAGTGGAAGTTCCCCAACTTCAACTTCTAACAATGACTACCACTAACCAAATAGTATCTATATGTGTATTATACCTTTTAAAATGGGCAGACATCATTTAGAAATTCAGACCTACTTTGTACCTGTCCTTTTACAAAATTTGATTATACAAAGTTCAATAGGAACAAAAGGATATATTATGAGGACGAGCCTTCCCTCACCCTTGTTTCCCAGCTATCCATGGGAAATGCTATCACCAATTTCTTAGGTAGCCTTTTGGGATTCTCCTTCATATATATTTATATATTTGTGTGTATGTAGAAGAACTGGAGTGTAGGCAAAAGGGTGGGGGAGGTGGTGAGAGGATTCATCAGAGTCAGAGTGGGGAGCAGAACAGGAGGATTATTTACTGAAATAGGCCGCTAAGAGGGAGCATGAGGCAAACACAGGAGAGGTCTGCCGTGCCGTGCCAAGTGGGCTATCTCCGTGGCCAAAGACTGAAATCAGGTCGCAGTGGTGACAGCATTGAGACTTAAACCCCAGAGGCCTTCTTTCATTTAATAGCAGGATACTTCTCATTGTACAGAGGTATGGGATTATTTTGGTTTTTCATTAGAGGGACACTTCAATCATTTCCAGGGAGACTACCCACTGGCATCTAAATTCCATGTCAAAAGTTAATTATCTCTCAACCTTCGTTAACAATGTGGTGTCCTAGATTGTAAACATGCACTATAAGCCATTTATCCATTGCTCTACTGACGAGCTTAATTTGGGTTTACTACCACTTCCCCTGCAACTTGAGCACTTGTGTCATTTTGCCAGCAATAGTTTCTAATGAACTCTTCCACCAAACTGTGAGCTTCTCAAATGCAGGAGGAAATTTTCATATTCGTCCTTGTAGCGTCATAAGCGAGCGCTGGATTTGTTCCTGAGAATACGTTCACCACGTTTGAATGTAATAATAATTGAAGCGCCTGCATCGATTTCTAGAGTCGCGAGGCGGAGCGAGGGGAAAGCTGCTCTCCTTTGGGCGACCTCAGTCAGCCCGGAACTCTCGTCAGACGGATCGTTGTTTCTCTCGGAAGATTGTAGCCGCAAAACTTGCCCCGCACAAACATGGTTGCCATTTACCGGATGTAGCCGGTTATTTTGCCGTAGTCAGTTCTACCACCGGGCGGAAAAGGTATGTCCGCTGGTGTCTCGACCATTCCCACCCCCTCTATCTTGCAGGACCCCATGAGCAAGCTGTGGCGGCGCGGGAGCACCTCTGCGGCTATGGAGGCCCCTGAGCCGGGTAAGGACCGATAAAGTAACTTAGGCCTTTGCAGAAAAAGAGTTCCTTTCTGGCTGCTCGGAGCTTCCAGGGTACTTATCCACAGGTGGGAAGGAGAAGGGCGGGACTGTTGTTATGGTAACCGCTAGTCTGCGGGAAGAGTGTGACCCCCCCCCACCCCCTCAGGGATAGTGGGTTGCTCAGGGCTTTTTCTGCTGTACGCCAGGGTTGACAGGCTCGCTTTCTGCAGGGGAAGCGCTGGAGTTGAGTCTGGCAGGTGCCCACAGCCACGGAGTGCACAAGAAAAAGCACAAGAAGCACAAGAAGAAACACAAGAAGAAACACCATCAGGAAGAGGAGACTGGACCTACGCAGCCATCTCCTGCCAAGCCGCAGCTCAAACTCAAAATCAAGCTGGGTGGGCAGGTCCTGGGCACCAAGAGGTGAGGCCAAGAAGGCGAAGATATTACTTGGGGAAGATTAGAAGCTGACAGTTAAAGAAGCGGACTGGGCTTTCTAGAATATATATAGAATGGACACTTGTCCAGGCTCAGGTTCAGGCAGCAAGAACCTGTATGGTTGTAACTACTGAGCAGGATAAACAGACACTTGGTCAGCTTACAGAGTGGTGTTGCTTCTCTACAGTGTTCCTACCTTCACTGTGATCCCTGAGGGACCTCGCTCACCCTCCCCACTTATGGTTGTGGACAATGAAGAGGAACCTATGGAAGGAGTTCCCCTTGAGCAGTACCGTGCCTGGCTGGGTGAGAAGGATTTGGAGGTGGGGAAACTAGGTTTCTCTCTAAGGGAACAGGGTTGGTGGGCCTCACTGGTGGCACAGGGGTTAAAGTTTCAGTGCTGTTGCCAGCCAGCCACTATGGCATGAGTTCATGAGTTTGGTCCCTGACTAGGGAGCTGACCCACATGGCGCAGCAGACCTCTCCTTTCTTGCCCACTGCTCCCCCCTCAACAGTGTATTTCAGTGAATCCACCTGTTCTGCTCCCTACTCTGTCTCTGATAAATCCTCTCACCCCTGCGCCCCTGGCCTACACCCCAGTTCTTATATGTATAAATAAATAAAATAAATCTTTTTTAAAATAGAAAGGAAAGAGAGTTGGATCTGAGGAAGGTGAGAATTTTGAATGCTCCAGTATTAACTTCATCAAAAATGTACCTCCTCTGAACAATTCTAGTCTTAGCTCTCCAACTTTCCTTTCCAGATGAGGACAGTAATCTGTCCCCCTCCCCACTTCGAGACCTGTCAGGAGGCTTAGGGGGTCAAGAAGAAGAAGAGGAACAAAGGTGGCTGGATGCCCTGGAGAAGGGAGAGCTGGATGACAATGGAGATCTCAAGAAGGAGATCAATGAACGGCTACTCACTGCTCGGCAGGTAAACTGGTTCTTATTTATTAATTCATAGAATACATATGGAGAACTAAATATGTCCCAAGAACTTCTATAAGCAGCTCGTATTTGTGTGATGGGGTAGGGGGAAGTGAGGACTGGGGGCTTTAAATAAATACATAATTTGTAAAAGCTGTAATAAAATTAGGCAGATGAAATAGAAAGTGGTAGAAAGAGACATTAGATAGGGTAGTTGAAGAAGAGCTCTCTGAAGAGATAATATTTCCAATATCAGGGGAACTTTTCAGGCAGAGAGACCAGCAGGCACAAAAACATTGAGTGGAACATGCCTCACAGGAGAAAGGAAAATAAGTATGACTCCGTCTCAGGAAGTGATGTATATAGAGACGTGATGTATTTGTTGGGTGAGAGCTGACGTGAGTTAGGGTGGTTTAACTAAGGTGAAGTTAAACAGAGATGGGGAAATCAGGCAGATCTTTAATATATTTTGGAAGTAGAGACCTGTTGGGGGTAAGGACAGGGAAGAAGACTCAAGAGTAACTCTATTTTAAAGATTTATTTATTTATGCATACAGAACCTGGGTACAGGCCAGAGGTGCAGGAGCGGTGAGAGGATTCACCAGAGACAGAGTGGGGAGCAGAACAGGTTGATTGACAAAGTACACTGCTGAGGGAGCAGTGGGCAAGACAGGAGACAGGTCTGCTGCGCCATGTGGGTCAGTCAGCTCCCTAATGGGCAGCTGTAGCTGGCTTGCAGTGCTGCATCCTAACCAGGGAGGGCCTCAAGAGAAACTCTTGATTTTGGCATGAGAAGTTATCCAAATAATGCTATCCACTGAGATAAAAAGATTAAAAGCAACAATCAAAAAACCTCAGAAGTAGTATAGTTTGGGAATCAGGACTGGCAGGTGACATTACTAGTGTCCCCCCCCACCCCCCTTAAGGCTTTAAAGCTAAATGTCTAGAGGTCTGGGAGAAATCATTAGGACTCCTGGCCTGGGTGCCCATTCCACCCCTTCTCCCTGGCTCTTCCAGGCCCTGCTTTCTATGTCCCTTCCTTCCCTTTCTTGGGGACCTGCTTCATTTTCTGATACCACCTTGTCTGTCTTTCCTCAGCGAGCTCTGCTCCAGAAGGCTCGGAGTCAGCCTTCCCCAATGCTGCCATTGCCAGTTACTGGGGTCTGCCCGGCCCCAGCTCTCACCGAGGAGATGCTGCTCAAACGCGAGGAACGAGCACGGAAGCGAAGGCTGCAAGCAGCGCGGCGTGCAGAAGAGCACAAGAACCAGACTATCGAGCGCCTCACCAAGACCGCTGCGCCAAGCGGGCGGGGAGGCCGAGGGGCCTCAAGGGGTGAGCGACGGGGAGGGCGGACAGCTGCCCCGGCTCCCATGGTGCGCTACAGCAGTGGGGTAGAGGGTTCCACCCTTTCCTTCCCACCCGGAGTTCCTGCCCCGGCGCCAGTGTCACAGCGACCATCCCCATTAGGCCCTCCTCCGCGATGCTCCGTCCCTGGCTGCCCGCACCCACGCCGATACGCCTGCTCCCGCACGGGCCAGGCACTCTGCAGCCTTCAGTGCTACCGCATCAACCTGCAAATGCGGCTGGGGGCGCCCGAGGGCCCCGGGTCCCCCCTTTTAGCTACTTAAGCCCTTACCTAATCCGGACTCTGCCCACTCCCTGGCCCAGTTTTCAGTACCTAACCCACCCTATTAAATCTCAAAACGTGCCTCAGCTTGTTTGACTTGGGGGAATGGGTCAGTTCCGAGATACGCACAATGCCCCCGCCAGGGCTTGCGTTGACTCTTGGAGCGGCCCGTGGGCCGCGAGAAGACTGACTAATAGCCACATTCGGCCGAGTTCGGGGACCCCGCCTCTTCCAGTTAGGGTTACCTGGCGTGGTCAGGCACTCGGTGTCATCCCGAAAACAGGACTCAGGCCAATCAAAGGCAACTTTACTCTCCTGGGCGGCCGCTCATTGGTTGCTAGCCCAAAGCCTGTCCTGTTTTCCACATTGGCTAGTGTCGCTGTCAGTCAGGGCCAGGGTCGAACCTTATCCCACTCTTTGTCTGTGCGAGCTCTTGTTGTCTGGGAGAGTGGCGGAGGCGCTGCCGTCCATTGGCCACAAGGAGAAACCTCTGTTCTGTTCCTATTGGCGGATCTGTCGGAGGACGATGCTGATTGGCAGGGCAGAGCAACCTCGGTCCTAGTTGGCAGAGCTCTCCCCGGATGGAAGCTCCGGCCGCGGAGTGATGGTGGCGGCAGCGAAGATGGGCCGGGCAGGGACCATGGCGGTGGCGGCAGAGGTGGCAGGGGAGGGGCGGCTGGCGGTAGAGGAGGCTGTGGTCTTCAGGGGACTGTAAGTGGAGGAATGGCTCGGGCCAGCGGCGGGAACGGCAGCGAGGAGGCCTGGGGGGCACTTCGGGTGCCGCAACAGCAGGTATCCTAATAGCTCCAAAAGCCCCATCACGACAGCCATTTATTTCTCTTTCCCCTTTCCTTGTTCCTTGCTTTTGGAGGGTGGGGGCGGAGCTCACGGAGCTAAAGGTACGGTGAAGTTCCTAAGTATGCCCCTTCCACTCTTTGTCTAAACTTTGTAAGGTAGATGCAGTTGACTGCCTGCAGCCTTCTAGACCCCCATCCCATGGCTGCAGTGGAAGCTGGCGGTGGCTCGCCAGTGACTAGAGCCATAGTGAGGCCCCAGGGAAGCTCCTTCTGTCTTGCAACAGTTATTTGTGATGTTTTTCTGTGTGCCTATTGTCACAACAGAGTCCGGCAGCGTCTTCTCTTGAGGGAGCAATTTGGAGAAGAGCTGGAACCCACACTCGCGCCCTGGATGCCATCCTTTATCATCCACAGCAATCCCATCTGGTTGGGAGCATTACCCTGGGTCTCACACTGCCAATCTGCCCTAGGAAGCCTGAGACCCAGGGGTGGAAATAACCAGCTTGGGGGTGGGAGATGATGAGAGCAGCTTGATTTAGGAAATTATCTTAAAGCCCATACCCATTGTTTGAGTCTTGGGGATACCTCAGATTATTTTGGCTTCTGCCAAAACAATCCCTTAACAGGAATATCCTGGGGGACTAGCCTTGTGGGTACTAAGTCTCCCGTATGTAGAGCTGATAGCTGCCTCTTTATGTGTCCACACGGTGCATCTTGTTTTCTAGGTGGATTCTTGCTATTGCAAATGTTCTTCCATGTGGACAGCACTTCAGATATTTGACCACTCCTTTCAGCATAACTCTTCCCTCTCCCCATAGAGCTCTCTGACTTCACAGGGTGGGATTGTATGTGTACGTAGGGGAGGGGATGAACAATGCCCTGGGCAGGATATCTCCCTCAGTTCTAAGTGCCTCCTTGCTCCCAGCTTCGAGAGCTGTGCCCAGGAGTGAACAACCAGCCCTACCTCTGTGAGAGTGGTCACTGCTGCGGGGAGACTGGCTGCTGCACCTACTACTATGAGCTCTGGTGTGAGTCTCCACGGGGGCTATTCTCAGGCCTCTCTGCCCACCCTCCTTTGGACCTCAGAATTCCAGCCTTCAGAGACCCTTCCCTGCATGGGAGGTATCTAAGACACTCCCTCCTCACTCCCTGCAGGGTTCTGGCTACTCTGGACTGTCCTCATCCTCTTTAGCTGCTGTTGCGCCTTCCGCCATCGACGGGCTAAACTCCGACTGCAGCAGCAACAGCGGCAGCGTGAGATCAACTTATTGGCCTACCACGGGGCGTGCCATGGGGCTGGCCCTGTTCCTACCGGTTCACTGCTTGACCTTCGTGAGTGACTTGAGGCTTTGGGCTCAGCTGCCAGCAGGCTTTCCAAACCAAATCAACCCCACATTCCCTTTACAGGCATTCCAAAATATACTTTTTCCTAATAGGAAAAAAGAGACCATCACCCAATTCCTGGCTGCCTTCAACCAATGATGCCATTCTTTCCTGCAGGCCTCCTCAGCGCCTTCAAACCCCCAGCCTATGAGGATGTGGTTCACCGCCCGGGCACACCGCCGCCTCCTTACACTGCAGCCCCAGGCTGCTCCTTGACTGCTTCCAGTGAATGCACCTGCTGCTCCTCTGCTTTTAGCTGCCCTGCCCACTTCGAGGGAACAAATGTGGAAGGTGTTTCCTCCCACCAGACTGCCCCCCATCAGGAGGATGAGCCCGGGGCAGGGGTGAGCCCTGCCCCCACACCCCCCTCCTGTCGCTATCGCCACCTGACCGGTGACTCGGGTATTGAGCTCTGTCCTTGTCCCCACTCCAGCGAGGGTGAGCTAGTCAAGGAGGCTAGGGCTAGTGCTACCCCACCAGATCTGGCGGACCACACCCCTTGTGCACTGCCCCTAACTCCGATACCCCAGGTCTCTCCTGTGGGGCTGGCTTCCAGTGAAAGGGACATCCCATAAGTAGTTTGGGAGGGTAGGTGAGATATTTGCCCACCAAAAAGATTCCTGATCCCAACACTTTGAGTTCTTGGTCTCTCCCCAATTCCTAGAATCTGTCTGAAAGAGCTGGAGCTCTAATGAGAGGGGCAGTGCTTGGGGGGACTGTGCTAGCTCTATTCCCCCCCAAGACATACACAGGAGCCTTTGATCTCATTAAAGAGATGTGAACCAGCTGCTTGTGGATTTGGGTGGACTAGAGCTCAACTCGCTACACTGTACTCGACCTGATTGGGTTGGGCGGGGGAACATCTCCACTTTTGGGGGGTAATGACAACTTTCCCTGTTTTTCTCTGGAGAATAAGTGATAGCCCTAAAATCTGGACTGAGCCAAGACCTTTTGGTGAGGCAAAGTGCCAGCAAAAGCAATAGAGTTTGGCATGGTTTCCCAATTTATTAAAAAAATAGACTTTGAATTCACATTCATCCCAGGGCTATGTGGGATGACAGTAACAAGACTCCTGAGATGAGCTGAGGGTTGAATTACTGGTATCTGAGGGTTGGAGTGGAAGCTAAAGACCTTGTCCCTCTCGTCCAGAGTGACACAAAGGGCCCTGTACCTGTCCTGTCCTATCCCTTCAGTAGTCTTCAGCCATGGCCAGCAGGACAAGGCTGGTCCAGCCCTGGAAAGGACGGCAGCCCATGCCCCGCCCATCACGATCACTGTACTGCTCCCACAGGAACCCCGTGACCTGGTACTGCCGCTTTACATTGCCCACCACATTGGCACGGAGCTTACTGTGAAGCTTTGCGGCCCGGGCCTGTTGAGGACCCTCTAGATGTCCATAGTGGTGCAGTGCCCCCAAGGCTAGGTAATTGATGTTGAGCCACACAGCACCCCGCCAGTAGGGAGGATCATGTTCTGAATTGCGTTTGCCATAAAAGGGGCTGGAAGCTGAAAGGGAGCGTAAACCAAAGGGGCTCCAGAGATGGCGACTGTCAGCTAGGACATCCAGCAGGGGCCCAAGATGGGATGAGTTGGGTTCCAGCAGTCGAAGCAGCAGAGGAAATAGACTGACATAGCCCAAAGCATCCACATATTGCAAGCGAGGGTGGGGCCTGCCCACCACCCGCACCAGCCCCTGGGGAGGCTGAGGCTTCAGATGCACTGCTTTTGTATGGTTCCCAAAGTCTGCAAAAACTCCCAGCTCTGGGGCCCAGTGCAGCTCATCCAGGCCCTCCTCTGCCTCCAATGAGGCAGCTAGTGGGCCCAACTCAGCAGCTGCCTCAGCCTCTCCCAGCTGAGTTGCCAGCCGTGCCAGTACACGGGCTCCCAGTGCCACCCAGCACCGCAGGTCCAGGTGCCGCTCAGTGGCTGAAGGGTGTGATGCCCTGGGATAATCATCTAGACCTGAAGGCAGTGTCTTTGGGTTCAGAAGCGTTGGCAAAGGTGGATCCCGGCCCCGCCAGCGGTAAGATAGTGGCACTGGCCCTGCCTGGCTCTGATGGAGCCAAGAAAACCAGGCATGTAAACGGGGAAAAGCCCTGCGGAGGAAGGCCAAGTCAGCAGGGTCACCACCCTCCAGCATGTGGGCTATAGGCAAAAGAAGGGTTGGGGGGTTGGCATGTGCTGCCCGCTGCACCAGGAATTCTGGGGGCACCCGGGCTCGGGCTTCATCCCCCAGCACCTGCTCTCGCCCAATCCAGCCATCAGCATTAAGCAACCCCAGCCAGTGTCCTAGGGCCTCCTGGGTGAGGCGGGGATCCCACCGCTGGACCAGTAGCTGGTGAAAACCCTCATCCCAAAGGAAACCTCGTGGGAAAAATGACCGTGAAGGGACTGCTGTGAAAAGAGGGACAGGAGGAAAGAGGGCTGGATTTGCCTTCAGCTCAGGCCCTTCGACCCCCATATCTGGCAACACCAGACCCTGTCCATAGAAGTAGCCAATTCCGCCTAGGAGGCCACTGAGGGCAGTCTGTCCCAAAGCCTGCTCCTCAAGGCTCAGGCCCTTTTCCTTCAGGTGGAAGGTCTTCTCAAAGCGCTCTCTGAAGGATGCAGCATGGCTCTCCAAGGCCTGGGTCAATAGGCTGCCAGACAGTTGCTCCAGGGCTTGGCTTCTTTCTACCCGGGCACTGCCTGATTCAAATACCAACTCCATGGAAAAGGGGACTTTCAGTGTCACCTGCTGAATTAAAAATTGCCCGTGTCCCTGTCCTTGCCCACTCTGGCTTCTATCTTCCCACTTGAGAGATCCTGGCAAACCAAGGTAGCGCTGAGGGGATGCCCCTGGAGGCCGATGCTGAAACCAGCTATTTAGGCGACTCTTCACCATTTCTGTCAGCAAAGGAAGTCCTGGATTGGAGGACCAGAAGACATTGTAGCTTGAAGGTGAAGGGGAAAAAAAGAGGAAGTATTACTCAAGAGGAAGTGATGGGAACTGAATTATAAAGAGAAATTCAAGGTGATCAGGAGTCAGTGTGAGGAGATCCCAGCAATGCAGGGAACACAGAGCCTAATGAGGATGGAATAACTAGTGGAAAGAAGGTAGAGTGGGGGAGACAAATTAGGCAAAGTACCACCCACCCCTACCATCATCTCACTCTTCCCCCAGTTACCTGCTATACTTGGGAGCAGTACCTCCTGGACTGGTTGGTGCCAAAAGCGTCAACCGGAAATCACCGAGTTCACTGGTGTGCCCACTGATGAACTGTAACTGTCCATTGGCCGCAACTTCTGGCATGAGGACTTCCTTGCCATCTGTTACCACATAGAAGAACAGGGACACCAAAGGGAGAGCAGAGGTACCTGAGGCCTGGGTGACCAACGAGAGAGAAAAAAACAGCATTAGATTGGCAGTTTCTGTGGAGAACCAGCCTTAGTGAGGGAAAGGGACACTGGGTAGGGGAAACTTGGTAAACAACATACATTTGGCAGTGTTGAGAATCACCGAAGGTAAGCACCCAGTGGGATGATATAAAGAGCCTTGCATGGGGTTCCCTGGGAAATAATAGAGTTCTTTTTGCTATGTACTATGGTATGAATGCCACATATTTCATTTCATTGTTATAATTCTGTGAGTTAAGTGCTATTTTTATCTCCATTTTATATACAAGGAAATCAAGGCTTAGAGACAGTAAATAGAGTTGGTGACAGGAAAGTGTTTAAAACAGGATTCAACAAGCAGACAGACTCAGAGCCCCTGCTGTGAACTCCCACTTCATATTGCATTTGCTGGCAGCAAAGGAAGGGTGGAGGGAGTCCAGGCTAGGGGAAGGGGGTCCTGAGGCCCTGACCTGAGATTCTACAGTCACTCTCCAGCTCCAGTCCCCTCCGTGCTGACCCCCAGGCCTCTTGACGAACTCAGTTGTGAGCCTCAAGGCCCCATCCTGGATGTGTTGCCGCCCGAAGGAGATACCGTCATGGAACTCCCAGCCATAGGGACCCACGCCGTCCCCCTGCTCACACGTGTGCCTGAGCTTAGGGGTCCCTGCGGTGGCGCCTTGCTGCGCCCACATCAGTCCTGGGGGTAAAATGGCCACGTAAGTCAAAGAGAGCATGGGATTTGGGTCTCCGAGAACTTCAGGGTCATCCCTCTTTATAATTCTCCTGATTCGCTCCTCCCCACCCAAGCTCTGGCGTGAAAGCTGGGGCTCCCAGATTGAGTCCGCCTGATTGTCCGCCCCGGGGCCCGGTTACCAGTGAGAAGGGGCTGCGGGCTGCGGGTCTTCATGCCGAAGTAGACATGAGGGCGGTAGGTGCCCCAGAAGAGGTCTGGGGCCACTGCAGGACTGGAGGAATCAGGAGGCAGGGCCGGGGGCGCGGAGAGCAGCGTGACCGCACGTCGAGCACGGTGCCAAGCCAGCAGCCAGCTCCCGGAGAGGCCTAGAGCCAGAGCCAGGACAACGGCTAGAGCCACTGCCCGGGTCGGGCCACGGGCCCCGCCGCCGCGCCCATCCCGCCGCACCGGGCCGCCCCGCCTCTCAGCAGCCCGCGGAGCATCTGCCGGCACTACGCGGCGCCGCCGCTCGCCCCGAGCCATCCTGGCAAGGGGGTCGGCGTCGCGGGGCTAGGATCCTGCCTAGGCTCCCAGCCTCTCACGCCGCTCCCCGCAGTCCGCTGATCTGTCAGCGGCACCTGCTAGCCAGTACCTCCCGTTCCGCTTCCGCCGGAAGTCCCTCCTCGCCACGTCAGTTAAAGTCCCAGAGCTCGGCACAGTTTCCTCGGTTTAACGTAGGCGCGGTCTCCTGGGACGAGTCCACCTCCAGGCGTCTATCAGCGCCCTCTCGGAGTTCACAGGCTTAACAGAAAAATCTAACATGGGGGTCTTAAGCCAATACTATAGATTGAGAACCCGAGTTGCTATCCTGAGTGTTGTACCTATAATCTCCCACTCCCGATCAGGTAGCGAAAACCTTTGCTCCAGAAACTTGAAATAACTTGGTTCTAGCGAGAGACAAGATGTGACTCACTTGCAATCCAGAAGTATTTGAATTAAACTGGACCACTCAGCCCATATCCATCCCTTCTCTTCTAGTAAAATGGAGGACCACACCAGTGGATCTTAGAAGAAACCTGAGATATATTCTAACATTATCTTTAAATAACCCTGTGTCTCCACTCACTCCAGCACTATTCCTTATCTAGATAAACCTTACAAGCCTTTATCGCAGTGAATGCCCTTAGACCAAGCATATGCCTCACCCCACCCCCTTCTTTTCTACAGCTCAGGAAGCAAAGGAGCATATGGAAAAGGACAGCTTATGTTCAGATTAGGGAGTGCTGTAGAAAGGAGATAGCATCCGAATCTCATATAGATTTAGAAAAGTCTACATTATTTTGATGGCAGTTCAGAAATGCAACTTAGGAAAGTTACTTATTTCTTAGTAACTGGGCAGCATAAAAGGTATTTTCATGAAGTACAAGTTCTTATCCTTTAGAACTCTATTCCACACTTATGCCACTCTTTTACACCTCCCAGCCAAAAGTCATATGCCTCCCTGGTAGTGCAAGGGGTTAAGTCTCAGCACTATGTAGCTATCCACAGCCACTGCAGTCCCCTGCCTGGGAGCTGATCACAGGGCATAGCAGATATCTCCTGTCTCACAGGTTGCTCCCTTGAGCAGCGTACTTCAGATCTGCCTGTTGTGCTCATTACTGTCTCTGGTGAATCCTCTAACCCCCTGCACCTCGGACCTATATCCCAACTCTTGCATGTATATACAACTAAATCTTTTTTTAAAACAAGTCTTTGTGCTGCATGTCCAAGTCCTATTTCACTACAATCTGATTTGCAGCCCCACCCTTTACTAGTAGACCTTTTGTTCATTCAGTATCACCTTCTTACTGAACTCTGTTTAACCCTTTCTTGGCACCACTAGACTTGGTACACATCTCTACTGTAGCACTTATGACATACCTATGTTTCATTATACACTTATATCTGAGTATACTATCTAGTATTCTAATCAGTTACAGGTACAAGGTAGATGCTAAATATTTTGTGATTCAACAAATGTTTATTGCATGGTCTGTGGTAGACATCTCTGCAAGATTCTGGGGGCAGAGAAAACAGCACCAACCTCAAGTTCATAATTGAGCGTACTTATTCCATGTTTACAGTAATAATTGAACCACCCCCATTTTTACAGATGAGGAGAGTGCCCAATTAGTCAGCGCTGGACAACTCAAATCTAGGTTATCAATATTCTTTCAACTACAGCAAAAGTACTCTTAGATAATAACACTAAGTTCTCAGCACTATTCCAAGTATTTTGTACACAGCAATTCATTAAATGCTCTAAAGAGTTCTTTGAGATAGGTACCATCATCCCCATTTTACAAACGAGGTAATAGGCACTAAGAGACTAAATAATTTGCCCAAAGGCTACTTTAGGAGAAAGATGTAGTTTCAACCCCTCACTTTGATCCTTAACTACCAGAAGACAGTAAAAGAGTAGTATTGTTTTTTTAAAGAGGGAAAACATCCTTTCAGCAGTCTTTTAAGCTGGGAAGAAGTAATGTTATAAGAGAGTGATGGGAGATCTATTTGGCAAAATTCATAGCAGTATCTAGAGAACTTTATTTGCCTCAGTGAGCATTCTGAAGTTCTCTAAACCAGTGGCTATTTACCATTTTGGGGCTCAACAAAGGTCTTCACTTTAGGACAAATGGCATGGATATGGGCAATGGTCCACTCTAAATGAAAGATATGGGTTCCAAAGCAGGGCTTTATAAGGCATAGTAAGAAATAATTCCATATTGCACACATACACATACATTTACTGTCTGTCTATTCATGATTATGTGCTTTAAATCTAAGTTTCTTAAAAGAATACTTCCCATTTCATGTGTTCTACACTGATAATTTTATTTTACTTTGTTTCTTCTCTTCTCTTCTCTCTTTTTTTTTTTTTAAGGCTGACTTGACTCCCTAAATTGATTTCATGATCCACATCAATGGGTGGTAACCCAGTATGAAAAACTTCAGACACAATGCTTGAGTACTTTCGGCTCTGTTGCCTTGAAACAAGTGGTAGTGAAAGATATAACCAGCGATGTATTTCACAAAGATAAAATTAAGCAACAGTAAAAATGATTAGAAAAAAGGAGACAAAGTGGGTGAACATAACAATGATACTACATAATGATTGGGAATGGAGAGAACATTTCAGAAGTTTGTGTTTACCACAATATTCTGAGCTTACTAGCTGGATATGCAGGGAAAGGGAAAGGCAGAACCAGAGATAATGGTTTATCTAGCACAGTTGGCTAAGCAGATGAAGCACCTTTAAAAGGTACAAAGAAATCAGGGAGAGAGATGTGTATGTGAAAATGTGAATTCTATTTTGAGTGGATTGTTGGTGGAATTGGAGGAAATTCCTGAAGATCTCTGACTAGAGAGAAATAAAGGATTAAATCAGAGAGGTTAATTTAAGTTATGACAGAAGAAACACCAAAAACAAAGACAAGAAGAAAAAGGACCAGACAGGAAGATAAGTTCCACAAAAGAGTAAACTGACAGTGTCAGATTCTACTGGGATAGAGAGAAAACAGCACTGGATTTCACAATAAAAGTTAAGAGCCACCTTGTGTGAGATGCAAGAGCAGTCAAATTCAAAAAGGTTAAGCAATGAACCTTTGGAAATGCGAACAGTGAAATAAATTATCGTTGGTCCAGATCCCTTACTGATTTTGTGTTCCTCCAAAAACGATGTGATTTGTAGTCACAGGGCTCTTGGAGGTCTTGCTAGTGCTGAGTGGAACATACAGATGATGGGTTCAGTGATTAAGTTCTTTTCAGTTATGTGTCCTAACAGTAGTCCCAGACTAAAACAGGCTTGTTGGTCTTTCTTTTGCGGTGTTAGCGCCCATTACCAGAGCCCTGCTTGTCCTCCCTCCCAGCCGCGTCCCGGGCCTGAAGGTGAGACTGGAAGGCAGTGAACATCTCCTGGGCGGTGAGGTGGGCGCCGCGCATAATCAAGCGATGCCCGTCTCCTGGGGAAGAAACAAAAGAGTCAGGATCGAGAGGGCAGAGGGCTCAGCTGAGGGAGCCGGAGCTGCCTGCCGCCCCCTCCCGCCACACTCCCCACTGGAACACACCGAACAACACATCCACGCAGGGCTCGGAGCCGTCGTGCCTGACGTCCGCAATCACCGAGCAGTTGAGGTTAGTGGAGCGGACTTTCTCGCTGCTCACCGCCTGGAGGAAGGTCCTGCGGTGGGAACAGGGCTTGAGCACCCGGCCGAGGGGACGAGACCCCTGGCGGAAAGATGGGGAGCTCCTTCCCGTCCCTATATCAGCCCCTTTTCGTACCTCGTCGACTCCACGTTGTTCTCGAATGGGCAAAATTGGACCCGAACCTGCTTCACGGACCGTAGCCCGAGCCGAGCCAAGGCCGCCGCCATGATGGCCTCCGCCCCGGAAGTGCTCGCGAGGGCGGAAGTGACGCACTTCCAGAGCGTGGGGTCGCGCTCCCATGTCCGTCGGCAGCTGTCAGCCCGCGATGGCCCTGCCGAGCCGCTTCCCCGGACCTCCGGTCCGAAAGAAGGAAAATCAAGAGGGAGCGAGATGCTTTCGGCTCAGGGTGTGGAGTGGCCCAAAGCGGTCAGTTAAATGCTGTCAGTGAACAGCCCGTCCTCTTGTGTCACGGTGAAGGCAATAAATAAGTGCAAAAGCTCCTTGCATCTGACTCCAGTAACAGCGATCTTCTGGAGCCTTTCCTACTTTGTACCCACTTAAGGCAGATTTTACTGGCCTCCTTTTAAGTGCCGGTCCCTACCAGGTTACCCCACTCAGGGAACTGAGGATTAAAACATGTTGAACTCAATAATCAAAGTTTAAAACATGAAGGCCCTACAGCCCAATATTCTAAAATGACTGAAAATAGTAGAGGGGAGGGAGACAGCCCTGGGGACTGATCCAGGTATAGAAATGCCTATTTCACTTATATGGTTCCTGACAAATTAACCAGGTGTTTTGCCTCGTTCCTGGGTCTTAAGAAGAGAAGCATCTAGGCCCTCTGCTTTCTACTGCTTTTCCTCCTCCCCTTTTCCTAAGACTCTGACACTATATCCCTCCCCCAGCCTCTAGCACAAAGGCTGATAAGGAACTAACAGTAAGCCTCCGATGTATGCTGACCTCTGGGTTCCAGGCTGGCATGGATTCTTAGTTTGTAAGTGCAGGCTCTCTGTCAGTCTCAGGTATGCTTTCTTCCAAACTCCCAATGCACTTCCAAAGGTCTGGGCTTTTCCAGCCAAAGATAGGAAGCTCTTACTTTCTGGCTGCTCTTCAGGATTCAGGACTAAGTCCCAAGCAGAAAAGGAAAGGCAAGTACCAACGGGAGTGCTGGTATTGTCTCAAGGCGAGCCAAGCTTGCTGATTTCCCACTAGGTAAGCCTCTGGGCTAGGTCCTTCTCCCCATAGTGTACTTAGCAACTGAGCTGTCTGGGTTGGGTGTGCTCTAGATCGGAGAGGGGGCTCCAAGTTCTCCAGGCTGCTGAGGTTGCTGCTGGGAAATTCCGTGGTTTGGACCTCATGACATGCACCTGATAAGGCAGAGTGGAAGACACGGAAAGGGAGAGGGTAAGATGCTGAAGTTATCTTAGTGATGAAGGTAGGAAAGTGAGGAAAATAAAGAAATGAGACGGGTTTTTTAAAGCCTGGAAAAGGGAGAGGTGAGAGACTCACAGCAACACGACCTCCTCTGGCCTCGAGTCTTGGGCAGGGGCTGCTGCAATAGACACAGCAGGGCCCCATCCAACCTCTGGAAGATGCTGAGCATGAGCAGAGTCTGGCGAAGTTCAGGGCATAATTCCCACTGCTCCTCTTCTAGCAACTCGCGGACCACTCCGAAGTCTTGTCTGAGCTGCAGTGCCCCCTGCAGGCTAAAGGCCAAGGTACAATGTTGCCTCCGAATACTGCCTTACTAAACTCTTGATATATCTGTCCCTTCCCTTCTCCCAGGTCCACTCCTCCTCCTGCCACTGCCTCCTTTTCTCCCGACCTGAACCGGATCCCATGTTTGAGGATGTGATCAAGCCAAGCCCCCAAGATGGCTGTCAGCGCCTGGCCCAAGGCAGGGGCCTGAGCTTGCGATGGCAATCCCCGCAATCCTTGCAATACAGGCTCCAGTACTGTGCGAATCACCAACCCAGCATATTCACTAGGAACGCTGGGCAGTTCTAGAGTGAAAAGAGAGAGGACAAGGATGGAGACAGAGAAGCCAAGGTTTGGAGGGGTGGGGACACTATTACACCCTGAGAAGTTGGGATATGGCATTACCAGGACAGAGATGACGCCGCCAATACCGACCCTGAGGCATGTAGATTTCAAAGCCATGTGTGGCTTGTTTATGACATTCTTGAGAAAAGAGATGTAGTGACTCTTCAGGAAGCAGCTGTGGAGAGAGAAAATAAAAGGGGCTTACCTATTAGGGATGTGTCAAGTTATGAACCCTTCTCTAACTCTGAGGCATTTAACCTGGAATCCATAAAATCCAGAACAGAATTATATGTATAACTGATGGGCCTGGACATTTTCTGAGGAGAAATGCTATCTTTTATATATATACATATATATAATAGTTTATTTTTACATATTTTTGTGCATTTTTCCATCTCAGTTGCAATCCCCTTGGGCTTCCCATCACCAAATCACCCATGTGCCATCACCATAGCCCAGTGCATTTCCCTCCCCCCGCTGTTTTTGATCCCATTCCCCACTCCACCCCCACAAAATGTCTCTGGTATATAGCTGTTCATCATTATTTTCTCGCCTGTTCTATTATATTCCTGCTATGAGAGAAACCATCCGGTATTTTTCTTTTTCTTTCTGGCTTATTTCACTAAGCATGATCTTTTCCAGCTCCATCCATGTTGCTGCGAAAGACATGTGTTTCTTTTTTTTGGTTGCTGAGTAATATTCCAATGGGTATATGTACCACATTTTTTTAATCCAGTCATCCATTTGGGCATTTAGGCTATTTCCATGTCTTTCCAATTGTGAAGCAATAAAGCAGCAATAAACATGGGGTGCAGGTATCTTTTTGAATCAGTGTTTTTGTGTCTTTTGGGTAGATACCTAGGAGTGGGATTGCTGGGTCGTAGGGAAGCTCCATGTTTAGCAGTTTGAGGAACCTCCAAACAGTTTTCCATAGTGGTTGTACTAGTTTGCATTCCCACCAGCAGTGCAGGAGAGTTCCTTTTTCTCCACATCCTCGCCAACATTTGTTGTTGCTATTTGTTTGAAGATGTGCCATTCTCACTGGGGTGAGGTGGTATCTCATTGTGGTTTTAATTTGCATCTCCCTTATTATGAGTGATGTTGAACATTTTTTCATATGCTGTTGGCCATCTGCAAGAAATGCTATCATTTTTATTGAGCTTTCCAAAGCATCTGACCCCAGGAAAAATATGGACAATTGTTCTAGAATTATGATGCTCTCCCCAGTTCGGCTCAGATGATGGAAATCTTTGAGGTTAATTTTATTCTATAGGAATGTCATTAGGAGAGAAAAAAAGATCATCACCCCCAACATTCAAACGCAGATGTTAAAAAAAGGTCTGCATGATCAAAAAGATAAACATATGCCTTTTGCAGCAACACAGATGGAGCTGGAAGGGATCATGCTTAGTGAAATAAGCTAGAAAGAAAAAGAAAAATACTGGATTGTTTCACTCATAGCAGGAGCATAAAGGACAGGGGTGGGGGGGGGAGGTAATAATAACTATATACCAGAGACATTTTAAGGTTGGAGTAGGGAATGGAATCAAAAACCAGGGGAGGAGGGGGATAAAGGGCACTGGACTATGGTGATGGCACATGGGTGATTTGGTGATGGGAAGCCCACAGGAATTACAACTGAGATGGAAAAAGGCACAAAATGATGTAAAAACAAACATTAAAAAAAGGTCTGCATGAGACCTCTCCTGACCCGCCCACTGCTCCCCTCAGCAGTGTACTTAGTCCATCTGCCTGTTCTGTGCCCCACTCTGTCTCTGGTGAATCCTCTCACCCTCCGCATCTCTGGCTTGTACCCCAGTTCTGTATGAATAAATAAATCTTTAAAAAAAAAAAAAAGGTCTGCATGATCTGAAGATAGGCAGAAGCTGAGGAAAGAACAGGTAACTGTATGATCTGCTAGTTTAGTTAACGATGATTAGCTTTCTGAGATTAGGGAAACTTTGGAATGTTCTTAGCCCTGAACATTCTGACAGCCCCTTCCATTCTTTTAAAGCAATGTAGCTCATAAAGCAAAAAAAGGCAAATGTGCTGGCTTTTGTTTGATAGGTTTTGTTTTTGGAGAGTGTCTCTCCAAAAAAGAGTGTCTCTCTAGCTCATCTAAGTAATAAGGAGCCCTCAGAATTGGAATATGTGGCAGCAGCTATGCAAAAAGGTGACTGACTGCCTGCAAGCCCAGAAAAAAAGGGGCTTGGGGTGCTCCAACATGGGAGGACAGGGAAAGGTAAAGCTTGTGTGGCTCCTGATACATATCCTTCCAACAGCCCATTTAAATTCAGACTCCCCTTTTCCAAAAAACTAGAATGCCCTTCTTTCATATTTTTTAACATTTATTTTAATTTTATTTATGTATACAAGACCTAGGGTATAGGCCAGAGGTGCAGGGGATGAGAGGATTCACCAGAGACAGACTGGGGAGCAGAATAGGTGGGCCTTCCCTGATGGTGCAACAGGTTAAAGTGCAGCACCATGAAGCTCTCTGAAGCCACTGCAGCACAAGTTCAATCTCCAGCCAGGGAGATCACAGACCTCTCTTTCCTGCTCGCTGCTCCCCTGAGCAGTATATTTCAGTCAATCTGCCTGTTCTGTTCCTCACTCTGGTGAATCCACTCACCACCCCTACACCTCTGGCCTGTACCCCAGTTCCATATGCATAAATAAATAAATCTTTAAAAAAAGGACAGATCTACTGAAATACACTACTGAGGGGAGTAGCAGGAGAGACAGGAGAGGTCTGCTACAGCATGTGGGTCGCCTCCCTGGCTGGTCAAAGATCAAATTCATGTTGGAAAGGCTGGTGATAGCTTGATAGTACTGTGCTGAGACTTTAGCCCTGTGTCACCAGAGAGGCCCTCCTCCCATATTTATACCAAGGCAATGATCCTTTTGTCAACTGACATTTACTAGAAGGAACCTCTACACTCAACAATCGGAAAATACGGGATATGCACTATGAGAAAGTCATTCCCTGTCAGGCATAATCATCCAATTAGGAGAAAGCTCACAGCAGCACCAGATTCTTCTTTTTTACCTAGGGCCATAATGCGGTGGAGAGCCCTAGAAGCACAAGTGCACTCATTATGTGGCATGTAGACTGCCTTGCACAGTGTTGGGTTTACACGGGAAGCACAGTCTTCCTGTTTCTTTTCCTCTGTTCTCACAACTACCAAGAGTTGGCCCCTTCTCATACTAAATCTCCCTGATCATTACAGCTGTTCAAATTTTATCAAGCTTTTCATAGTTACCCTCCTGTTCTTACAGTATCTTCTTATCACTCATGAGATAAACCCCACATAGTGTTGGCTGGTGTTCGGTGTCTCTAAAATTTGATGCCAATCTGCTTATTCATGCACAATCTCACCACCCAAAACACCAGTGTGCACTCATGTGTGTGCATGTGTGCACATGCATGTAATCTTCCTACAACTGTTCTAAGCAACTATGAACTGCCACCTCCAGTAAACCCTGTTTCTCTGAGGCTGCCCAGCTGTCAACTTGAGCCACAGGCCCTGTATGGAGCTTCTGTAGCCACATACCCACCACTGTCTTCCCTCCTTAGAGTGTGAACATCACTTTCTGTCCTAATGATAAAGGGACTATTCTAGAACATGTGAGTTGAAGGAAACAGCAAGGAAATTAAGGTGGAGATGCCCAACAGGCAGATGCAGATACTGGTATAGAACTCTGGGAACAGGACGGCTAAAGTGTGGGAGTCTGTAATACCAAAGCACTGTGGATAAGTAGGAGTGCAGAAAGAAAAGCAGTAGAGGAACAGGACTGAACTCTACAGCTATGCCCCTATTCAGAGAAAAGAGAAATTTGGATAGGAAGGGAAAAAAGAAAGACATCTTCCATAGTAGAAATAATCCCCAAGATGGGAGAGGGGGTTATAATTTACACGTTAATTATAAGAAACTGTTAGAAGTGGGCCTCCCTGGTGGCATAAGAGATTAAGTCTCAGCACTATGAAGCAATCTGCAGATACTACAGCACGAGTTTGATTCCTGGCCAGGACCAGGGACCAGAATTTGATGCCCTGATCCACATGACACAGCAGACCTCTCCTATCTCGCTTGCTGCTCCCCTCAGAAGTGTATTTCACCCACCTGTTCTGCTCCCCACTCTGTCTCTGATGAATCCTCTCACCCCACCTCCCTGCACCTTTGGCCTACTCCTCAATTCCTATATGCATAAACAAATAAATCTTAAAAAAAAAAAGAGAGAATGTTAGAAGAAACAGCCAAGAGTGGGACAGAAATCACAATGGAAGAGAAATCAGAGATGGAGGCAATTAAAATGCTAGTTTTTCATTAAGAGCCTTATAAGACAATGTTCCATTTCACTTTCAACTATGTACATGTAATACTTTAATAAAAATACAAATCACATGTTTTGAAAAGAGAAACATCAAAAATTAGAAAGCAAAAGGAAAGAGTCAATCATTTATCTTGTCTTTTCTCTACAAAATTTACCTCAGAGTATCCAAGAAATCAATGAGGGCAAGTTTCACTTTAAAGGAATTATCTAACTACAAAGTGAAGAAGAGGCCCTCCCTGGTGGCACACTGGGGTTAAAGCACAGCACGGCAAAGCTGGAAGCTGGCCAGAGCCACTTCCTTGCTAGTTTGATCCCCACCTCTGAGGTTATCCACATGGTGCAGCAGATCTCTCCTGACCTGCCTGCTGCTCCCCTCAGCAGTGTGCTTCGCCAATCTGCCTGTTCTGCTCCCCACAATGTCTCTGGTGAATCCTCTCACTGCCCCTGCACCTCTGGCCTGTACCTCAGTTCTGTATGCATAAGTAAATAAATCTTTTTTAAAAAGTGAAGAAGGAATGACAGAATTGGAATATCATCACTTTGTAATCCTAAAGAAATAGCAGAGGATCTAGGCAGTGATCTTTGTCAGTGGCTGCTACCACAAAATGACAGCCTAACATTATGGGAGGTGGAAGAGAGAAGGGGAAGAGGAGATGAAACAGATCATGAATTAATTATTAACACCTCACTGGTAGGAATATGGGAGTGTTTATATTCTACTTATGTATATATAAAGGTTTTATACATGTCTGAATATTTCTATAATAAAAAGTTAAATTGATAAGAGAAAAAAAGTGAACAGTGAAAAAAGATAAAATTTGCAGAGGTTCCAAGGAGAGTCCAAGTCACTGAGATATCCCACTACCATCCCCCTACAACCCCCAAAGCTGGGCACAGAACCAGGCCTTCAACTACCACTGTCAGGACCCCTGCACTCCTCACCTGGAACTGTGTGGTCAGCTTCTGTATCTCCAAGCCCAGCTGCTGCTCCACATCTGGGACCAAGCCTTCCTCTGAGGCCAAGCTTGACAGAACTTCTGCCTCATGCAATAGAGGCTTTAGCAGAAACAGAGAGTGAGGTCTGAGTCCAACCAGGCTTGCTCCTCTCCCCCCTCCCTAGCTACTCACAGGTAAGTCCTTCTGGGTTAGGAGCAGGAAGGAGCCAGGGGCCCACAATGCCAGATGCTGCTGAGCTCTGCCCCAAAACCAGAGCAAGGTGGTCTGCAGAGTACAGAGTCCCAGGGCAAGGGGTGTAGGACCTGGGTGGAGGGAAGCAGAGTAGCTGAGGGATCGTAGAGTACCTCTTGGGAGAGGTGGGTTTCAGAACAGAGTAGAGGATTGAAATCCTCAACTGTTCTGTTCCTCTAGCCCCTCATCTCACCTGTAGGCTGACAGAGGATTTGCCCTGACCTGGTTTCTCGAAGGGCATCCAAGAGAGGAGGGAAGAGCTGTTGCAAAAGTTTAGCAGTGTGAGAGGATGAGGGGAGGCTGCTCGTCTCTCCACCAGCAGATCCCAAGGCCTGGCAGAAGCCTGAGGATGAGAGTTATGGTTTGACAGAGCAAGGGCAATCTGGGGCTTGTGTTACTCCCAACGCCTGTTCCTTCTTACCTTGGTCCCAACTCCAGATAAGAGAATGATGAAACAGGCTGTGACACAAAGAAGCCAGCTCCTTCTTACACTCCTGAGGCAGGGATGCTAGTGAGAAAAATGACGCAAGCCTAAAAACAAGGTTTTTCTTTTCCATAACTACTGCCCATTCAATTGGGCAAGGAAGGGCCCCCCAAGACTCAAGACTGGAGTGAAAAGTAAGACTATGTGTTAAAAGCCCAGAAGCTATAGCCTGAAAAGTGGGGGTGGGAAGGGTGAAGGGTGATGGAGATGTGGGTGTTCATTCTAGAGGGCCTGCTTCTGTAGTCAGGCTGGTAGGTGAATGAGGTGACTAGGGAGAAGGAAGAGTCTTCCCAAATGCCCACCCAGGCCCATCACTCACCCTGACCCAGTGCCTGATTCAGATGTTGTGCGGCTGTCCTGGGGTCCCTCCAAGGCTTTAGACTTAGGACCAGTCTCTGAGCACAGGCTGCCCACAGCAGGGTCCAATATTGGCTCCACAGGGCTCCAGCCCCTCCAAGCCCCAGTCCGCCGCTGGCTGAAGCCGCCACTCCCCCCAACAGACCCAGGAGCCCCGGGAGCAGCTCGCGCTCTTCCTGGCACCGCCTGCGGAGCTGGTCCTGCAAACCGGATCCCCAGAGTGGCTCCTCCAAAAGACCTGCCACCTGGTAACCCCGCTCCCCCGTCAGGAGGCGGAGCACACGGGTGGGAGGGAACGGGCGCGCGGCCGCTGGGACGCGATTCAGGGCTTTCCTTTGCAGTTGGTGGTAGGTGGGAAGTGCCCCCAATAGGTCGGCGAGTTTAGACGACACACCCGGGCTGGCAGGCACCCGGCCCAGAGCACGAAGCTGCATCTCAATGGTGGCATCCAGGCGCTGGGCGGCTAGTCCGACCGGGCGCGCCAACAGTAGCGGCTCAGGAGCCACCCGCAGGCCGATTCTCGGGACGGCCTTTCGGGGCCGGTGCGGCAGCAGGTCGCGACACAGGTCGGGAAACTGGTCCGGGCAGGGGGAAGGCGCGCCGGGACCCAGGACCCTCAGGAAGCGCACGACCGCCTGGAGGTGACAGGCGTAGTCGCGGGCGTGGAGAAGCTGCTCCCGCTCGCGATGCAACCGCAGCAGAATGGCCCGGAGACGCTGCAGCGCCGGAGGGATCGGGCCGCCGGCGGCCGGCTCCAGTCCCCAGGTGGCAGCGGCTGCCCCTCGGCGTTCACCTCTGTCAGCCGGCACCGCCCACCACCGCTGCTCTCCGCTCGGGGCCAGACTGGGGACGCTCCCGGCAAACGATAGCCCCGGCCAGCCGCGACCGTCCCCGCGGAGAGCATCCGGCCGTCTTCTCTCCCACTGCTCGTCCCCGGCGCTCTCGGGTTGAGCCCACAACGGTGGCGCGGTAGCGAGCGGGGGCAGGAGGCCACTCGAGCGAGACGCCTGGGCCATGGTGTGTTGTGTCGTGGATTAACCTAACGACTCCCGCCTCCCCGCACCGCCCCAACGCCCGCGGGGGCCGGGACTCCGCCCCAGCCCGAGAGCCATCACCTCCCGCCCGGGAGCGGCCAGCCCGACGTGGACTCTCTCGCGCTCCGTAGCCGGAGGCTTCTGCCCCTAACAAAGATGGCTGCCCGCTCAGTCCCACTCCGCCCTTCCGCGAGCATCAAAAACTAGACTATCTTTCGATTTCAGTCACTGTAGACGGGAGATGGCGCCGATTCCTAGGACTGAGGGCCGGATCCAGCTAGGTGAGCAGGTGTGACTAAACGGGAGGGAAATCTAAGGGAGCAGTGGCAACCCTATTTGGGTCTGGTTTTAGTTAGGTTTTGTGCTTCACTTGGTGGGCCCGAGGGCTCAGGCTCTTCGCGTCCCCAACCCTCCTGACCGCTGCTGCCCTCTTTTTTCCGTAGACTGCCCTCTGCGGCCCGGCTGCCCGCTAGGGGTCGCTGATGTCCCCAGACTCTGCAAGGAGTTCGGGCCTGAGGACTACGGCGAAGAGGTAACGCCTTGTCCGCTCCGCCCGTCCCCGCGCAGTGTTTCAACCTGCAGTGCTGAGCCCGGGTCAGGCGGGGAGTCAGAGTTATCGGGCTCGTCTCACAATGTGCTCAGCTGGCGGAGGGCGGGGCGTGGACCTCGGACCACGCTGCCACAAGTGCTCGAAGGGGGCGGGATCTGGCAGATAAGGGTCTCAGTCAAATTGGGGAGTGGGTGGTAGTTTTGGGGGAAAAATATTATGAAGACAGGGAACCCGTGTGAACCAAGACATAAGACAAGGAAAAGTTAAGGGAATCTTTCAATTGAGATCTTAGTGATGCATTTTGTTGGAACCACCAAAGATGAAATGGGAAAGAAGGCAGCAAACTTGAAAGGCCTGTCTGGCACAGGAATCTTTAAACATTCTCAAGTAGGTGATAGGGTTTCCGGAGGGAAGAGCAGCATCAGATTTGAGAGCGTTGAAATGCTGTACTTCCAGCCGCTTCCTGGTTATCTCAAAAACTTCAAACTCCAGTTTAGAAATTAAGTCATCATCTTTGCAAATTGGTTCCTTCCCCATCTTAATTTTGATGAATAACACAAATGTCTATTTCCAGAAATACAGAAATCTAAATCTATATGTATTCTATATAATATCCCATTTTCTTTACAAATTTAGCCACTGAAATCTACTTATGAAATATCTCTTGAATCAAATTCATCATTTCCACTCCTGTTTCTGCTGTTACTACCTTAACCAAAGAACTCATTCTCATTAGCCTGAACAGGGGTAATGACCTTCTAACTAAATGTTCTACCCCTAGGTGCTTCTGCTCCCCCAGTACTATTTTCTTTGAGTGTTTTCCAATCAAGCCACTCCCATCACTGAAAGGACAAAATCCAAACTCTGGATCACAACTGATTCTTCAGATTATAGCTCCTGGTTGCTTTCCTATTAGAATAGATTCCTCACCAACCTCTCTCTGTTCTTGTGCATTCATCACACTCCTCTTGAGTACCAGCTATTATATATCCCAGGTACACTGGGAAGAATAAAACATGATAAAAGTGCCCAATAGTGTAAATGAAGATGCTTTTAAAATATCTCCTGAGGGGAAAACAAAGTTCTAAAATTGTTTAGAAAGATGACAACCAATCTGAGTTCCTGCCTACATATTATTTTTAACACTGGAGTTTTGCATAACTTCTTATTTTTTCAGTCAGTGGGCCACCCACTCTGGGGGTAGGGTTGGGAGGGCTTCCTCTCTATCTAGGCCTGATTAGGCCAAGTAGGGATGTGATGATTCCTGTCCTCCTTAGCATACAATAACTGAGCTAATGATTCTCACCACAATCACAAAGTACAGGCCAAGCAATGAAGAGTCTTGCCTCATTCTGTGAATGTTGAAGCTGAGATCCAAAATCAACAGCCAGGCAGTAGCAGAGCCAAGATGAGGATAACAGATACTTCCACTCCAGCACAGTGCCTTTGTCAGTTCCATGCTGTCTTACAAGTTAAAAGAGCAATAAAAAAAACAATGAATAGGCCCTCCCTGGTGGCGCAGCGGGTTAAAGCACAGCACTAAGAAGCTTAAGCCACTTCAGCATGAGTTCGATCCCCGCCTGCCCCAGAGGTGACCACATGGCATGGCAGACCTCTCCTGGCCCGCCCGCTGTTCGCCTGCCCCAGAGGTGACCACATGGCATGGCAGACCTCTCCTGGCCCGCCCGCTGTTCGCCTGCCCCAGAGGTGACCACATGGCGTGGCAGACCTCTCCTGGCCCGCCCGCTGCTCCCCTCAGCAGTGTACTTCGTTGATCTGCCTGGTCTGCTCCTCACTGTCTCTGGTGAATCCTCTCACCCTCTGCATCTCTGGCCTGTACCCCAGTTCTGTATGAATAAATAAATCTTTAAAAAAAAAACAATGAATAATAATTATAATTGTATAACTAAGTCATATAGTTTTGTGAGTGCTGAGCAAGCACAGCGATAACTGGAGATGAAAGGGTCTAGGAAGGCTTTGAGAGAAGATGGAATTTGAACTGGACCTTAAAGATAAAACAAAATGTGATGAGAAAGCTCAGAGCCAGAAGAGACTCACAAACAGAAGAAAGCTTTCAGGCTAGAAGGAGCCTGGTGGCAGAGAGAGGACTGTAGGGAAGATGGGAAAGATCATCTTTGTGGAAAGCTTAAATCTCGGGCTGAACAGCTAGTTTTATTCCTGCCTATGACTGCCATTGGGGGATTCCTGGAAGATTTTGACTAGGTAAGGAATCGCTGAGACCTTGGTTCTGGGGGGAAAGAGATGACATTAAGAGGAGAGGGCAGCCAGGAACAGCTGGACTTGAGTAAGCATGAGTAAGCTCCAGGCTCCAGAGGGCTTTAAAGGGGCTGTTCATTGTCAAGGATTTGGCAGGGGCATAAAGAAAAGAGCAGGTGAAGGAACTCTAACTCTGTGCTGCTGACCTAGTAGCAGATGAAGGGGAGGAGGTGCTGGATAGTGGGGAAGGCTGGAGTGGACACCACACCCAATGCTTGGGAAGACAGAAGAGTAATACATGGAGGTGAACTGCCATTAAAATTGGGAACAACATATTTTGACGTGCTGAGGGAGGAAGGATAGCCAGTGTGGTTCTCTGGACTGTGTGGCTGTGGGTTGCCATGGTGGAGAAGTTAACCCAGACGAGCTCCTTGTTCTCCCCCAGAGAGCTCCCCTCAACACCAGCCTCCCCTCCCCTCCCCCTCCCAGGACATAGTGGATTTTCTTCATCGGCTTGTGGAGAGTGACCCCCAGGGCCTGCACCGGATCCAAGTGGATGGGAGCAGCGGGCGGCTGCAGCTGTGGCACCATGGTGGGGAGTGAGGGGCAAACCAGGGATCAAGGCTGGTACCCTGGGGAGGGCTGGCCCTCACACACTCCTTGCTCACCTTCCTTTCTTTTCCCTTATCTTTCTCCCTCCTGACAGATTATCTCCTGGGCCATTTCTGTGATGAGGGGAAAAGGAGTGGACAGAGTGACAGGGGCAAGGGGGCTGAGGGACTGGGTACCTACTGTGGTTTCCGAAAGTCCTTCCTGTGCCCTTCCCAAGGATCTGAGCCCTGCCCTCCAAGCCCCTCTGCCTCTAAATCCTTCCCCAGTGACTCAGCCAGTGTGCTTCAGGTGACCATGCCACAGAAGCTCCTGCTGACTGAAGAGGTAAGACAGTAACAAGGTCCTTTCCTTGTTCTAGGGTTCTCCTAACCCCCATATTCCCATGTATATATTCTGCCCTAATTTGAAGAAATCCCCCCTTGTGAGATCCTTTCAAGCTGCTTGCCTCCCTTTCATTCTCTCTTGTTCTTTCTCTTTTCCTGTCACCTGATCTTCCCTCTCCAGGAAGCCAACCACCTGGCTGAGGAGCTGGTGGCTGAGGAGGAGCGTATGAAACAGAAAGCTGAGAAGAAAAGACTCAAGAAGAAGGTAGCTGGAGGGTAAGGGGCGTGGGGGCAAAGGAGGATTGGGGAACGGGGAAGAAAAGAGCTTTGTGAGAGCTCAACATGACCACAGTGGGGCTTCTTGCTTCAGGCCCCAGGGACTTAGGGACTGGAGGATACCTGGTAGCCCACATGGGATAGTGGTTCTGGAGTCAGACTGTACTGTAAAATGAAGCTAATCACAAAATCTACCTGGCAAGGAGGAAAGGAGATAGTAGATGGTTAGACAGGCAGGCAGGTAGACAGACAGACAGATAGGTAGAAGAGAGCATATGTAAAACTCTTAGTCTGTTGTAGACATGGCAGAGTTTGCTTCAAGATACTGTGTTTTGTGTGTATTTAAGTAAAGTGCTCAAAATATACCCTTCTCCATCTCCTCGACATTATTATTACAGCGTCAAAAAGATCGAAAGCGACAGGAGCGCTTAGAGCAGAATGGTGGGGAGCCCAAGGTAAGTGTTTACAGGCAAAACCAAGAGCCCAGAAGGTGTGGGCTGTGAAGGCAGGATGCTCAAGGAGATCCCAGCTCTGCATCTATCCATCTTCCCTCCAGGCCAAGGCCAGCGCAGATGGGGATGACAGCCCCCCATCCAGTCCTGGGGCTCCAGCTCAGGGACAGAGTGGTGAGGAGGAGGTAAGAGCCCCTTTTCTTCCCTATTTGGTCTCTGCCTAGCCTCTCCTCCCCATCTCTGGGACACATCCCCATCCCCTCCTTAACTTTCCTTGCTGCTTACAGGACTTACTGGATCTGTCTAGCACCTTTGTGTCTCTGGCTTTGCGCAAAGTTGGGGACTGGCCCCCTAGTACCTACCGAGAAAAGGGATTGAGCCAGGAGCCCCCAAACAGGAGCCCAGTTCCCCAGAAGATAAGCCAGGAAAAAAGAAGGTGTCCAAGAAAAGAAAACCCCAAGCAGAGTCCTGAGGAAGAGGTGAGGTGAACTGAAGAACCTCAGCTGGAACTGGTAGAAGGGTACCAGTGGACTCTGGGAAGTCACATGCTCTAGGGGGCAGTGACCAGTGGAAGGAGTTCTCTGGTGCTAGGATGAAAAGACCTGGAGTCAGTCTGCCACTGGTACCTTAACCTTGAATAGTCTCCTGTGCAAGCAGGTGGGGATGATATCCACCTTTCAGAACTGACATGACAACTACATGAATTGGGTGAGGGTAATTAAACTATGCTAACTGTTGGAGCAAAGGACAAGGGTTTGGGGAGGGTGAGACCTCAAAGCCTTCTTGACTTTGCTCCCCATCCCTAGGCACCCCCAGGACTGCAGGCAGTTGCCTTACAGCAGAGCCAGGAGCTGGCAAGTGAGATTCTTTCTCTCTCCTTTACCCCGCTCTCCCTGGGGTAACCCCATCTGAACATTCTCACCCTCTTGCCTCCCAGAGTTAGGTACCAGCTTTGCCCAAAAAGGCTTCTACCATAAAGCCGTGGTCCTCTTCACCCAGGCCTTGAAGCTTAATCCCCAAGACCACCGGTAGGTGGGGCTTGGCTACCATGCTGGGAGGTCAGAGAAAGGCAAGGTGCTGAGGACTTAGCCTTTTGGCTACTTTGTCTTTTCCAGGTTGTTTGGAAATCGTTCTTTCTGCCATGAGCGTCTGGGTCAACCAGCGTGGGCCCTGGCTGATGCCCAAGTGGCCCTTACCCTGCGGCCTGGCTGGCCCCGGGGCCTCTTCCGTCTCGGCAAAGCCTTGATGGGACTGCAGGTAATGGTCTGAGGTTGGAAGCAAAGGATGAATTTGGGTGCGATGGGATGGGGATGGACCTATGTTGACCTTTGCTTAAAAAAAAAAAAAAAAAAACTCATACAGCACCATCACACCTTTAAAAGTGTGAGAGCTGGGGCTGGTGTCGGAGAGGGGTCAGCATCAAGTTCCTCTGGTAAGTCCACTTTCCTCTTTCAAATCCTTGTGGGACCAAAGCGTTTCGAGGAGGCAGCTGCTGTCTTCCAGGAGACTCTGAAAGGTGGGTCCCAGCCTGATGCAGCGCGGGAGCTCCACTCTTGCTTTCTGCACCTTGCTCTGGTAAGGGAACCATACCCACTTTCGTGCAGAGGGGGCTACAGGGAGAATTTGCCAGCATTGCAACACCAACCACTGTTCCCTCTCCCCTCAGGGGGGTAGGGGTTCAGGGTGTGGAAGAGGAGCAGGCTGCACTGCTAGACAGGAGTATCACCTGCCTTTCCTCGCTTCTCAGCAGGCTCAGCAAGGAGGAATTCGTGGGCCACCTCTGTCAACACGGTTTCTCCAGCCATTTCCCCATGCAGAACCCAGGGCCCCAGGCCTCTTCACCCTCAGGCACCCTCAAAGCACTGCTCCAAGGGCTCCTGGCCTTTTGCCTCCACCCTTGCATCTTCCCCCACGTTATCTAAGCCACTATAACTCGTGCCCCCCTCAGACCCAGAGTAGAAGACACCATTCTCTCCTACTCCAAGACCCCTCAAGGGACAGGGGCATCCTGGGTCTTAGGCCCCAGTATCTACCTCAGGCCAGATGAGGGAGGACCTGTCCCTCATAGGGCAAGGCCATATGTGCATCTCACAGGGATGAGAGGCACTGAGTAATGCAGGTCACTGCATATGTGGAACCCTTGGACTCAAACCATAGTCATTTCTCTCAGACCTTGGGATCTGGGCCACTGAAACAGCTTCCTTCGGGTCTCAAGCAGATGGTCTCTTCTGGGGCAGTAAGGGAAAATGGGATCTACCAATGCTCAAGAAGGGAACCACATAAAAGTTCAGGTTTTCAGGCTGTGATAGACCCCGCAGGGAAGATTTGGGGTTTGCTCTACCTCCTGATCCTTGGGAAAACTCATTCTCCATCCATAATTCTGGGTCCAGGAATCGAGTCACAGTGATAAATAAGTCCTGTTCTTCACCTCGATGAAGCCCCACCTCTTCGTAACTCTAGGTCTTGCCCTATTTTGTCAAGCTCTAGCCTGTCATGCCGTTTCCTGCCTCATCTCTGTGCATATGCTGGCCTCCCCTTTTCCCAGTGGGCTGACACGCACCTCCTCCCACTACTAGAAGATTGACCAAGGCTTTGCATTTGGGAAGTGCCTTGCCAGCTGCTGCCTGAAGCTAGCAGATCCCCTGCATACCCAGGCTCCTGCACTGCTGGCTCACCCTGTGATGGGGCTTCAAGGGGCCCAGGCTGCTGTCTCTGTGACTGCACTCCCCACTCTGACACTGAATGTTATAAGTAGCCTCTCCCCATCTATTTACTCTGTTTTTCCACCCATAACCACTGCTTCCAGAAAAGGCTTCAGTTCTCTACTTCCTCCATAAGACTCATGGTCTCCTTTTGATTTTTCCTCTAAGACCCTAGAAGCTGCCCCTGGCTGCTCCTTCCCTACCCCTCCCTGGGACTTTTAGCTCATTTAAAAGTAGATCTTCAGGGAACATTTGGGCTTCCTGGAATGTCTTTCCCAAAGGAACCATTCATCCGGATAAATGAGTCTTACCATCCTATGGGTCCTGCTTGACACTAGTCAATCTGGATATAGGAGGGGTTGAAGTACATACCTCCTTTGGGGCTTCCCCACATTATCCTCATTGTTTATAGTGAAAGCCCTTTAGATACTAGACAGCATACGAAGCCTGCCATTATGAGTTGGGTCATCTTGGACGGGTCTTTCAACATCTGTGCCTCAGTCCTCTTCTCTATAAAATGGGGGCTGTAGTGAGAGCTGAAAGAGTACCAGAAAATCTCTACCAAATGTCTAAAATGTTGTATGTGTTAAATAAATTGATTTTTGTAACTATGCATTCATGATTGTCCTACTTTGAAGACAGGAGTATGGGTCTATGGTTCTAGACCAGCATCAGCATCACAGAGGAACCTGTTACAGCAAATGAAAATGCAAATTCTCAGGTCTCCCCCAAGCCCTTCTAAATTAGAAACTGCAAGAGTGGGGCTCAGCCATTTGTGTCCTACTAGGCCTTTTATGTGATCCTATGGAACCCTTACATTTGAGAACCACTAGCTCAGGACCTAGAAGGGAGATACACATCCAGAGGCCATTTTGGTGGGACAGGTTTGAGTGTTGTTTAAAGCCTGATGATAAGAGGTGGCAGCACTGAGTTGAAATTTAGGGAAACAAAAGGGAGTTAGAGCTCAGGGCTAAATAACTTGACTGGATCCTACCTTCCTCACTAGAAATATTTTTTTCCCTGGGAATTCTTTGCTCATCCCAAACTTCATCCACAAAGTGGGGAAGAGATGATTCTATTATATAAGGGTCACTTTTATTACAGTGACTATTAAGAGACTTGCTTGTCTGGCCTTTCCAGGTTGGGGTGAGTATCTTGTCTACTTTGCAGATTCCAGTAAGCTTCTGGCTGCTCAGAGGATAGCCACCCACCTACCGCTACTGTTTGATATCTTTGCTTTCAGGTTGAGCTGGCTTCTTGCTCTTTTAGCCTATCGAAGAGATATCCCTTCCCCCACTACCTCTTACCTTATCTGGACTTGATTCTTTTCCAAGGGCCACAGGACTCCTGACATCTTGCTCTTACTTTGCTGCACATTCATGCTGCTAACTGGTAGGGTTCTGACCAAGCCATTTGGATTTTTCCCAAGGTCCTTCAGAGTGGGATTGTGGCACCTGTGCAAAAGCATGCATGGGTCACAATTGGCAGCAACCACTGACTGGAGGAGGGATGACACTGAAAAGCCACCTAAGCACGGTTCCCGCATCCAGTCAAGCAAGGCCTGTGGCTATACAAGTGTCCCTTTTCCCTCCCTGTCACACTGCAGGAGTGAGACCTCTGAAGATGCAGGAGGAAGCCAGCACCAAGTTCCACCTCAGCAGGTGGTGGTGCCTTCCCACCCTCCTGCCATGGCCACTATCCTGGTGGGGACATTCTCTCCCAAGTGCAGGTAGAATTCCAGGAAGTAGAGGTTTGCCTGTGTGTCTAGTGTTTCAGCCTAGAGTTACTTCGTTGAGGCAGAGAGAAAAGAGAATCAGGATCACTTAAACAGATGACCTAAACGTTTGGAAAGATGAGAGAATCAGGCACAAAGTCATTGCTCAGAAGTGGGGAAGAGGGGAAGACATTAGGAGCTGTCTGGGAAGAGGAGGCAGACCAGCGGTGTATTAAAGGCCATGTGGAGTCCAAAGGCCACCAGTACCGCTAGAGCCCTGCCCTCATCTCACCCTGCAGTGGCCCTAGCAGGTCGTCAGTGAGCTCTGGTCAAAATGCTGACCTAGGGGGGAATCCCTCTGTAAAACGGGCATAATTATATCACCTGCCTTATAGAGTTATTAGGAGAGTTAAAGAAAATCACGTTTAAAATGCTCAGCCAAGCCTGGAATCTCCGCAGATTTTGCTCTTTCTGGCTCTAGGCGCCAGGACAGAGACCTCTTTTAGCAGAGTCTCGACTTTATTTTCAACAGTTGTAGAAAATGGGCTTCTGAACTGCGAGCTGGGAAAAGCCCGGGACCACACCCCTTTTCCACCCCCAAATCCCAGCAGGGTTGGGATCGCAGAGGCCAGGAGTCCGGGGATCCAGAGCCCGGGGCTGGTGGAGGCCTTCAGTCGTCCACCTGTATCTCCTCGTCTGACAGGTGGAGCCCGGAGTCAGACCCGGTAGGGCCGAGGCTGGGGCTTGGGCGGGGGCCCGGGGCGCCGTCTGCCGCCCTGGCGAGGTGGCACTGGACTTCCGGGGACACTGTGTGCAGGGAGGCCAAGTCCGCGCGCATCTCCTCCACTTCTCGCTTGAGCTTGGCGCGCCGGTTCTGGAACCACGTGACGACCTGCGCGTTGGCCAAGCCGAGTTTTGCTGCCAGCCCGTCGCGTTCTGACGGCGCCAGGTACTTCTGGAAAACGAAGCGCCGCTCCAGCTCCAGCACCTGCTGCGCTGTGAACGCCGTGCGTGACTTCCGTCGTCGGCGACTGGCACGGCCAGGGCCCAGCACGCCAGGAGCGGCACCTCCTGCAGGGATAGGGCGAGGGTCTCCAGCCTGCGGGAACCAGGCCACGCCCCAGAGGAAAAGCTGGGGGTGGAGTCTGGGCGAGGTACGGGTTGGGGAAGAGAGAAAGCAAACCGGAGCAAGAACCTTAGTCCCTTACCAATCTGCTTTGGGGGCGGGGGTTGGGGGGGTGGGGGGGTGTTGTCAGCCCTAAGTGGGGGCTGAGGCCTGAGGTGAGCAGAAACAGAGGGGAAGCCAGAGGCAAAAGACGCAGTGAGATATGGGAGGCAAAAGGTCAAGAGTATTTTGCGGGGACAGGGAAATGAAAGGAGAGCGGGACGGGCCAGAGGAAAATTGGTACAGGGTCTGGTTCCATGGGGTGAGGCCTTTGAGACTTCCGGGAGCCCGCAGATTTGCAGACCGAGGCCGCAAGAACGGCGGGCGCATCACAGAGCTAGGGGCAGCTGATCCCAAACGTGTGAGTGTAACAGGACCCTAATCGAGTCCTTCCTTAGGCTTATGGGTTGTTTCGGGATTACTCTTCTTGAGTATTACTGGTGTCTCCTCCTCGAGCCCAAAAAGTGGGAGTCGGGAGCTCCAGAGCCCTCCCTGCTCTAAGGACCTTCTGTTGATTTTATCGCACCCTCAAAAAGAGAGCGGCTTACAGAGGAGCAGGGTCACCCCCAGGCCTACGCTTAGCTCCCGGCACCTTCTGGACCGCCCTTGCCCTAGCTCACAAGTTTACAGTCTCCAACGCAGGTCTTTTGTCTCCTCTCTGGCCTTTCATTGTCATGACTGCCCCGCCTACAGTGAATGAACCCACGGAGGCTCTCCGTTTCTCGACAGCCTAAACCTTCCCCTCAGCGCGGGCCCGCGCGACCTCCCAGAGCCGCCGCGGAGCCTGGGAACTAACAGAGGGGCGGTGAGGAGCGGGAGATGCAAGTCCTGGCACGTGGGCTGAGTACAGTGGACGGATTAGGGTGGCGACCACGTTTCAAGACCGGTAACCTAGAGGAGAAAAATGGGGAGAAGTTCAAGTCATGGTGCGCAACCTACCTGGCGCTATACCTTCAGAGGGCGTTGGAGCGTGCAGGTCAAGCCCGCGAAAAGTTTTGCTAGCCATCTCCTCCAGCGCGCACAGCGGCGAAGTGGGTCCGGGGACCGACTCTGTAAGCTGCAAGGCGGAGGGCCCTCGGGGGGCCATGCGCGGGCCTAGGATGTCTGCGATGCTGAAAGGTATCCGAGGTGTCCGAGGTCCGGAGCTCATGTCCCGACGCACTGTGGCGGTCCCGCTGTCCTCTGCGCTTGGCTCCGCAGCTCCCCGGGTCCCCACCCCGTGGTTCCCGATTTGGGCCCCCAGCGTAAGCCCCAAGCCGGTGTGCTCCCACCCCCAATACTGGGCCAAGGTGGGTCTGTTGCTGGTAGAAGTTGGGGTAGCGTATTACTGAAGGGTGAGCAGGCCCGGGGAGAAGCTGAGGGAACAACCCACCATACCCGTCCAAGAGGCTGTTTTGCACTGTGAGGTAAGGCGCCGTCTGTGCACACTCGGCTCAACCCTTTGTCCACGGCTCCCAGATTCTGTATCCTGGGGACTCCTCGCCTAGACTGGCTGCTGCTCAGAGTCATAAATTCGTAGGCAGTAAAGTTGCTTTCCCTGGCTTCAGGGACGGGTCTGCAAAATTCTGAGGCACATCGGAGCTGACTCTGCTAGGATTCCCCAGCCCACCTAAGAAGGACTTCAGTCTCCCCCGCCCCCTTCGCCCCACCCCTGCTCTTAAAGAGGTCCTGGCGGCTGGAAGTTATTAGTACAATGAGGGGAGGGGGGCTGGAGACTTGGAAAAACCAGGCCAGGCAGAGCAACAGCATGGCAAATAGTAGGGTGCCCCGAGGAAACAGCACAGGTGAGTGGACAGCTCGCTGGCTGTACCTCAGACTATGCCACCATTGGCTCAGAGACCTCAAGGAAGTCAAGACACAAGAAGTAGCCAGAGACTTGGTCCTCCAGAGAGGACACAACTACCTCCAGCCACTACTGTTGCCCAAGAAGGGTCTTTACTAATGAAGCCTGAACTGTCCTGAGCACCTTCTGGTTACTCTATGGATCTACCAGTTGAGCTGTTTTTGTCTCCTTCTGGAACTCCTGCAGTTAAAGTCTTGGGTTCCCCAGCCTGCCCAGCAGTCAGCAGTGGTGGATGGTGCTGCAAGTCATTACCTCAGAGGACCAGGGTCATTCCCTCTTGAAGAGTGACTTGAAGGACAAACTGGATGTACCAGAGACAGAAATTTCTGCCAACCCAGGACAAACTCAAAGCCCTGGGATAATCACTTACATGGCAACCTCCTGGTGGACTGAGCAACACACTAAGCCCAATGGGCCATTGCTCTGTCAGAGAGCAGAATCAAGCCATGGAAGGAATCTGAGATGCCTCAGGACTTCACTAATTGGTCACTAAGGGCGGGATGCAGGGGAGGATCAGGAGAAATCCTTGTGGCTGGCTGGGGCTTCAGCCCTCTGACCATCCTGGTGGTTTCACTTAGTGTGCAATTAAAGAAGTTCCCAGGAGGCAGCAGAACTGTCTAGCCCGCGTCCCAGGTCTGTCACCAAACAGACACTACAGCCTTCACCATGCATCTTCTGTGCAGCTCTTATGTCATCTCTTCCTCTGCTCTCAATTACTAGTGTGTCTGTGGGAAGTGTGGGTCTCTCTCCAGGGCATTGTTTTCCTCTCTTTCCATCTCTCCTGCCTACTGCTCCCCCCACCCCCACTCCCCAAGCAGGCCTCAGGTAATGGGGTCGGACAGTCCCCAGATGTGGGTTTGGGGGCGGAGAGGAAAAGGGAGACTAGTAAAGAGAGGAGGCTGCTGACAGCAGAGCCAGACTAAGGTCGTCCTAGCGGCCAGAGACTTGTCCAGATGACAGTGGGGCCACAGAAGGGGACTTTCCCCAGTGAAACCTGGAACCTGAGCTGGCAAGAAACCAGATCCTCAGAGGGAGGTAGAAGGAGGGTGAGTGATTAATGAGGGAGATTAAAAGATTAAGCCTGGGTTCTGGGCTGGGTGGGAGGCACTCAGCTGTGTCATAGGCAGCCCCCCCCCACCCCAGCTTGGGAGCCCAGATGCTTTGCAGTGTTTAGTCAGTCATTGGGCAACTCTTCTGGCCACCTACTAGGGCCCATCCCTGCCTGCCTTGAATGCTCATCAGAGTTATATGCCAGCACCACCACTCCACTGCCCAAACTGAGTCAAAGACCTTCCTCTCCCAGCATACTTAGGCAAAGCCCTTCGGACATCTCAAGGTCCTCCCCTTCCTCCCTCTGCAGTGCTCCCCACATTCACTAACTCTGGAAGATGCCTCCATTCTCACTTAAGGGGACTTTCTCCCCCACTCATCTCTCCACTGTCAGAGTCCCCACTTCTGCATCCCTCCACCTTAGCTCTCTTTATTCCCTTTCATCACCACTCCACTCTCATTCTCATTTCCTGACTTAGTACCTCTTACCCCACCCCACACCCCAAATCCCCCCTCAGCCTCTCACCCAAGCCAGCCCCAGATCTCTTGGCACCAGCTGTTCAACAGGAGGTCTGCCCCCTCCTCCTCTGAATTCTGTTTGTGTGGTGGAGGTGGGTGGAGTGAGGTGAGATGGGGAGCATAGAGGGGCTTCCCAATAAGCCTTTTAGGGCAGTGGAAGGAGGAGAAGGTTAGGTCCAGAGATGTGCTTGCCCTCACCCTCCCAGCCCTTTAGGGGCACTCTGTAGCCCAGAGTGAGAGGTAAGTGGGAATTAGGGAGAAGTCTCTGGGCAGAGGTATTGTCCACCCACCAGGCACTGCTGGGTTTAGCTTCCCTTTCAGAAATTGTTACTAAGTTACTATGGAATAACAGAATTAGACACTTAATTTTTTTTTGTGTGTGGGGGGTCTGTTACTTCTAGGGCCTGGGGTTAAGAACACTTTCTAGCTCTTTAATTCAGAGTTCTGCATGCTGGTCACCTTGTTGGTGGGCTGCCAGCAGAGGGATAAGTAAGACTGAAACCCCATCCTTGAAACACACATATACCTGGGACCCACATTTCCAGGCAAGTCCCTTGTCTCCACCCCCACAACCCCAAGCCAGTGGTGAGACTGGCCAGGCTGAGAGGAACCAATGCTCCTCAAGTCAAAGGCTGGGCCAAATCTGGGTTCTCCACTTCCAGGTGAGTGTGGACCCTGGAAACAGTCTGTGAGAAAGATTGGCAGGGACTAGGGCAGACGGGGTTGGCCTTGTGGTGGGACTGATGCCTCTCTTCAGAAACGCCTTAAGGTCAACAGCTTGAGGTCTGGCTGCTAGCTCAGCTCCCTCTCCTCCCAAACTTGCGGAGGGGTTGGAGGGGCAGGCCTCTTTGATGGTTGTGCCACCTGGGGCTTCAAACATAGATGGCGAAAGGCTTGATACATCTGCTCTACTCAGATGGAGACCCCAGGTGATCTTGGATACAGGGTCCACGTGGAGCAGCCATGTTGTGTGTGTGGAGGGGGGCTGGACCTACAGACCGCGGAAATGGCTCAGAGCCAGCAGCTGGTCAGCATCAACTTGGGAGACCGAGACGAGATGAGATGAAACGAGAAGAGATGCATCGCAGCTGCAGCCATCTCCGCTGCTGACAGACAAAAAGAAGACCCATGAGCTAAGGCCAGGGAAGAGGCATTGCTCCACCCAGACGTGGACCTGAGCATCTTCATCTGCAACTGGGAGTCAAGTAATGTGTACTCAACGCCTCACCCCTAGGTTTGGTCCTCAGGCACCCTTGGCTTCTGACTGCCTTTTAGATGCGGAGCTGCGGCCAAGGCCCAACTGGACAATCAACTCCCTTATCCTATAGCTGCTTAGCCCAGAAAAATCCCCAGAAGCAGGTTTTTTTTTTACTCTTCTGCCCCATACCTCTCCCTCAGAGCCATTCCTTGGGAACACCCTTTCTCCACTAACTAAACGCCATGACAGCAGCCTGAGTGGAACATGCTCACTGTACCTTCAACTCCCCAGATTTTAACCCAGGCAGAAGAACCCTTAGAAAAATATAATTAATCCAAAACCTTGAGATATGTGCTGGTGGAAAGGCATGTCCAGAGTGGTGGGGGAAGTGCTGATTCTGGCTAAGGCGGAGTTGCTGGGAGGAGGTGACAAATTCAGAAACAGATGAGTATAGACAGGGAAGGGGCAGGCAGAGGCCATCCAGGCGACTTTGGAATCTTGGAGATCCTGTCAGAAAGGAGCCAGGAATTGTGCTCTGCAGAGTCCTGGATCTGGCCCCTGGAGCCAGCAGAGTATATAGATGCGCTTCCTTGCAGTCTGCAGCCTTTCACTTGTCCCTTTCTCTTTGCCTTCAAGCTTTATCTGTGCAAGAAGGGAAGCCCAGGTGTGTCACAGGAAAAGAGCACCTGACTCTACAGCAGGTTTTTATCCCCAGGCTCCCCATAAAACTCAGATTCTGGCAGCATTTACATGATTTGCTTGTCCCAAATCAGGCTGCAGCCCATTTGCTTCCTTCAGGGTCTTACTTGACCTTCATGTTACTGGGCTAGTAGGGCAAGTTCTGGCTACTTCACTGGAAATTCCACAGAACAGGGACTCTGGATGGGTTTATTTCTAGAACCCCGTGTTCAGGGCTGAGTTCATACAGGTAAGGAATATTTGCTAAATTAAATGTGAGTCGTGCTGCGTTCTTCTTGTTTCTTGAAGATGTCTTTGCTTTCCTGTTCACTCCTTATTTACCCGTCTATCCTGGCTTCCCCTAGCCCAGATACCTGAAGATCTGGAATCTTGGTATGGACACCTAAGTCACCAACTCTCACTATGCCAATATGCTCCCCGCACCCCTCCCCTCCAATTATTTTGTTTAAAAATTCCTCCCATAGTGTAAGTCTTAGATTTGTCTTAACATATCACTCTTCTTTAGTCCTCATTACTATCCAGTTCTAGCCCTCTCAAAACTTGTGAGTCAGGATACCTATTATAACATGCTTCAATAGTCAAATTTTAGAGCTTCCCTCCAGAAAACCTCTCTTCACCAAGAGCTCATGTGGGTGTCATAGTTTCACTTAGCTTCATAGGTGTCATAGTTTTCACTTAGTTTCACATATTTCTCAGTTTTACACTGTAGAATCCTCTACCTCCTTCCTTTTGCACTGTAATGAGGGACCAGGAGCAGAGAGATTCTCCTTTGTGATGAAGATCAGTGTTTCTGAGGGGAGCAGAATACAGACTAAAGCATGAGTATGTGGTAGGACAAGGA